CCATATATATATATATATATATATATATATATATATATATATATATATATATATATATATATATATATATATATTCTGTTCAAAAAATTGAAAATGATCAACATATCAGAATCTTGGATTCTTGATGTAGAATTTAATCTTTGCTCTTATCCCTTTCTGAAGAATAATTAGACATTTCCCAATGACTATAGATGATTCAAAAAATTCATTAGCTTTAAATTAGTTAGATGGCAATAATAATTTGAAATCTAGTTAATCACATTATGTCTTATTTTAGCTATTTAAAAAAAATTTCCTCATACTTTCTCAAACCAAAATAAATCATCTTACAAAACTAAGTGTTACAGTAGGAGAAGAAGCATGTGTTGCATTTGAAAAATCTTAATCAGATGCCCAAAACAAGCAAAGAAGTTATTTTGAAAGCAGGATAAGGGGAGAGAGCATGAGAAAGTGAAATATCAAACTCCGGAGAGTAGTCGTAGGTTTAGGATCATCAACTAGAAGATATGGTGTAGTGGGCTATTCGAAACCTGAGCCCTAATTGAGAGTACTTATTGGTGAAGACGTGAACCTTGATTTCGAGTACAACTAACCATGTTAAATGACTCTTATGGCATTTTATACATTTAGGTACTAACTCGAGCTCTCGAAAATAGTTATTTCACTTGCGCAGACGTAGAAATTTATTCTTCTTATCATGTTTCTTATCTATATTAAGCTTCCTCTCTTGCTTTTGCTTTAACCTCTTCTTCTGTAATTCGAAGTTTCTATACTAAATCAACTAGTCAAATAAGAATCTCTCGCTCACTTTCTACTTAACCACTTCAGAGAAGGCAAAAAAAAGATAAGAGTCCCTAACTCAATAAAATCTAAAGATATATCATGATTGCTAATATACTCCATAATAAAATGATATATAATATTAATATGTTTAGTCCTAGAGTGTTGAATAGGATTATTTATCAAACAAATTGTACTAGTATTATCATATTTTATATTGATATTTTTGTAAATTTCTTGGGTAAGGTTTCCTTAGAATTTGATGTATCCGATTTACTTTGGGGAGTAGAATCCTCATTTAAATTTAATTTATCAGATTTAAAATTATCATGAAGATCATTTTTCTTAATTTTGAGACATTAATAGTTTTGAGATATTAATAACATAAATATATTCTTCAATGACTAAGTATCTTGTTGAAAACTTGATAAACTTTAGTGATAAAGCAATATAAAAAAAATATCTTCATCAGATTTTATGTCAAATTTTTCTAAAGGTTCCTTGTGATTTAAAATAAAATATTTATAATAAAAAACTTTGAAATATGAGATGTTGGGTTTTTTATTATTTTATAATTTAATATAGAAGCTCGATCGAAGTGAGCGTGAAGAGCATGAAGTGAGTTATTAAGTTAAAAAGGCTTTGTATGGCTTAATGCAAGCACCTAGAGCATGAAATGCTAAAATTGATTTATACTTCAAGCATAATGGTTATGACCAATATCCTTATGGAAGTTTCCTTTATAAGAAGATAAACAAAAATATAGATATCTTACTTGTTTGTTTGTATATAGATGATGTTGTAACTCACTTATGTTGGGAGAATTCAAGTAAATAATGGTTTAAAATTTTGAAATGATTGACATTGCGCTCATGTCTTATTTCCTTGGTATTAAACTAACACAAACTAAGAAATATATAACATTTTACAAGACGTACATGCAAAGGAATTTTTCAAAAGATTAAAGATGGAAGATTGCAAACTCATTAGCATATTTGTTAAATGTGGTATCAAACTTTCAAGATAAGATAATGATGATATAATTGATCCAACTTACTTCTAAAGCTTAGTAGGAAGTTTAGGATATCTAACTTTCATAAGATCAATATTTTATATAGAATCAGATTAGTAAACTGATTTATGGAAGAACCAAAATCAACATATATGAAGACCATAAAAAAATTATATGCTACATCAAAAGTACTATAACTTATAATTTACTATATTTATTTTATATTTTTTTTTTACTTATTAGCTTTTTTGATAGTGATTAGAGTGGAGGATCAAAAAAGGACAATTAGCTTTGTATTTTATATGGGTAATACTGTTTTCACTTGACACTTAAAAGAAGTAATTTATTATGACATTCTCTACATGTGAAGTGATATATATAGTGGTATCATTATATACATGCCATGTTACAGGGCTAAGGAAGCTCCTAACTAAAATCAATTATGGACAACATCAAGCTACAAAGATAAATATTGATAATAAGTCGATAATTGCATTGGCCAAGAACATGATCTTCCACGAATAAAGCAAGCATATTGATGTTCACTTCCATTTTATTCAAGACCAGGAGAAGAAAGTTTCATTAGGCTACATCAAATCTGGTAATCAAATTACGAATATTTTCACCAAGCTCTTTAATTTAGATATATTTTTCAAATGAAGATATCACTCGGAGTATGTGATAAAAAATAAATTAAATTTTTGTGGGTGTTAATAGAATTAAACTTAATTAAAGAGAGGATTAAAATTTTTTTCATGATCGTATGAATGAAAATAATTATAATATCTAGAATTTAGTGAGAATAAAGAGATTACATCATGATAAAATTATCATGAAGAAAGATATTATAAAAATAATAAATCATAAGTAAATTAGATAGGTTATATAAATATACCCTTAACAATTTAAGTCTTGTAACTCTCATCTATAATCCTATAAATAATTAGGATTTATCGTGATAAAATAATATATATATATATATATATATATATATATATATATATATATATACTTTTCTTTAAAAAAAATAAAATTTTACTTACCTCTTACATCATTCCTCAACTCTTCCTCTTCAATTTTTTTATCGCTTCTTTACTTTTCCACGCCAGGAGGCATGTAGCTATCGTTGCCTCTACGTTTAGATGGCAACACTTGGTATTATGCAAGCTTGATCATCATGACGTTGCTAGTTTCTTATTATCATGCCTGAGGAGGGAGTAAATTAATGCAGGCGTTCGAAAGCACGGCTACTTGTAACATGATTTGTTAGTTCCTCGAAGTAGAACAATAGGGCTACATACCAAGGGACCAGTTAGCCAGTACTCATCTACTCCACTTGGAAGAGGGAAGGAAATAAGCATGGTGCATGTTTTATGACTTACATTGCTGGAAAGCCAGTTGCTTTCTTCCACCGTCCCTCATTGGTAAACACAAAAGCTCTTGGTGCAGGTGCAAGTGTGAATTGTTTGATGAGATACTATGTCGAAACACTTGACTTAGTTCAAAAGCAATCAATTCTTTTTGATCAACATGTAGAGGGCTTAATAGTAGATGGAAAGTTACAAGGCAGTGAATAAATTTCGCATGCACGCATACATATCAGAAGATTAATGCCGAGACCAAAAACTAAGTATTGTACTTCAAGGCAATCAGCTGAAATGAGAATGCAAAGGGAATGTTATGTGATCATGCAAGAATAATGCATGAGAGTTTTAGAAGAATAACATATATATATATATATATATATATATATATATATGAGAGAGAAAGAGTGCCTTCCCCAAGGTCCTCCAGCTCCTTCTTCATTGCTAATTCTGTATCAATGACTCCCTCGGCAGCGCAACTCCTCCTCTTCTCTTTACTCATCCTCGGGTCTCCTGCAACTGCAGCCACATGCAGCAGTTGCTTCTCGCGGTCGAGAGCTGTTCACTATCCGGACTCCGACAGACGAGGAACAGAAAGTAAGTACATAGAAAGGAAGGCCCTACTGCTTGCGATTGTTCTTAATTTGCCTTTGCATCTCGTCTGAGCCTTTGAGGCGCACCTGTTTCAGCCGGAGCATGCGAGTATGGTGCCTTGGGAGCCACACTCTACGGTGGGGATGTCTCTGCAGCATCAAAGCTCTACAGAAACGGCGTGGGTTGCGGTGCATGTTATCTGGTACTTGACAATTCGATTTTAGTCCGAGTTCATGTTCTTTGTGCATTTCTCTCTAGCCAGCATACCTTCCAATCCCTTGATCACTACTAGGTCAGATGCACGATCAGAGGATACTGTTCCAGAGATGGGGTTGTCGTCGTCATCACCGACCACGGAGCAAGCGACAGTGCAGATTTCATTCTTAGTCAGCACGCTTTTGCGAAGATGGGTCGAAGCGCCTCCGCTGGCGCCGCCCTTTTGGCTCTCGGTGTAGTTGACGTCCAGTACCGCAGGTGTGTGTTTTCTTACTGCATGGTAATGATCACCGTCACATATAGTCTGGCGGATGGTGACCGCAGGCCGGCCATGGGGTTTTCAGGGTTCCTTGCAGCTACCCGAAGAAGAACATTACATTCAAGATGGATCACAGCAGCGACTTCCCGTACTACTTTGCCTTCCAGATATGGTATCAACAAGGAGACCGGGATATAGTCGCCGTTCAGCTATGCGAGGTGCTGTATGATAACACAACCTTCACCAGTTGATTCGTAGCATAAGAACAAATAGGTGGTCGGTAAGAAAGCGTCATTTCTGTCTGGCTGCAGACGGAGAGCTTGACGTGCAAGCTGGTGGATCGGAGCCATGGAGCGGTGTGGGCGGTGGCGATGCCACCGAGAGGGCCTCTCTCGGCGAGGATGCTGTTGAGTGGAGACGATGGCGATGTAACCTGGCTGGTACCGCCCAACGACGTACCGGAGGATTGGAGGGCGGGAGCCATGTACGATTCCGGGATACAAGTGTACTCCTAATGCTGCTTTTTTGCTTCGTCACATTGAGACCGTGGCCATGCGTGTACACCTGTTTGCTTTACGGCTACGATTAACCGTAATATGAGTGCTGACTTAACGGAGGGAATCAAGTCGAGCACTCTCGTGCAATGTGAGCTTGCATTGACTACTGTGGTTATTTTGACTTTGTGATGAGTCTCTCTTCCTAATACCTCATATTATATTTGGCATTTGAATAAAAAATTTAAATTAATAAAATCACACACTCCTCTTTATATATATATATATATATATATATATATATATTATAAAAATAGATTTTGAAATGATGATTTATGCACTATATAATTTTGTTAGTGTAGAATTAAGGCGTTTCGAGGCATAGCTGTAGAACGTGCTGCCCAATTACCACAAATTTGTTCTCCAACCGTATTCTACTAATCCATGTTTGCCTTATTTAGATTAAGAGATTAGAGCTCCAAGCCTTCGCTTATTGTTTGCACATATGGGGGAACGTTTCTTTTATCACTAATGTTTATTCCGCCACGTAGTCGTTTGTGGCTGTGACACCGAATCAAATTGCGCTGTAGCGGTTCCGTAGGTATTTCCATCTCCATGAGACGCATCTCGGCCCGGCCCATTTTATTCGATAGGCGACAGGGCGATGAAGAGATCGTGCCACGTTGGCATATCGGACGGCATATCCGCTATCCGTATAGTATTTACATTATATATATATATACACATATTATATATTTATATATACATATATGTATATATATATACATATATGTATATATATACACATATACATATACATATATATGTGTATATGTATATGTATATATATATATACTCTTTTCTATTTTTGCGTCGGCCGTGCGCTCAATTTTCCCTCGCCACACGTGCCGCCAATTAGGGTTTTCTTCCCTTGGTCCGCACGGAAACAAACTCATCTAACTGGTTGGGTTTTCCGACTGCCACCGCCGCCTCGTCCTCCTCCTCGCTCTTGATTGCTCGGAGGTTGTTCTGTTCCTCGCCTCTTTCTCGACTTCTTTCCTCTGCTTATTGCTGTTTCAATAACCGATCGTAGAGCCTTTGCCCATTTTCTTCAATTATTGGGTCTTTCTCCTGATGGTATTAAGTTTTTCTGTAGTAAGCGTCGGTCTTTCTTGCGCATGATGGCGGAGGTGGTGTTGATTGAGGATATAGAAGCATCTGCTACGCGCCTTGGAATCGATCTTTCCTCGGTTGATTTGGACTCGATCCAACTCCCTCGTGGGGAAGATTTTGGAATCAAAAGGTTGTGTAACTTACCGTGACCCTAACACAATTATCTAGAGGGATCTCTTGCCTTTTGCGCAATGTTGTTTGTCTAGTGAGTTAATTTGTTCTTTGAAATTGTTTCTTTTGCAGCGATGATGATGATGATTTATATCAAGAGGACCCTCTCGAGTTTGAGGCTGGATTTGGGAACATCATTGTGGTCGACAATCTGCCGGTTGTGCCGCCAGAGAAATTTGAGAAGCTCGAAGGTGTCATCCGCAAGATATACAGTCAGATTGGCACAATAAGGGAAGGTGGAATTTGGATGCCAGTTAACCCAGATACACAGAAGACTCTAGGGTATTGCTTCATCGAGTATAATACTCCTCAGGTAATTCGTTTCAAACTTGAAAGTGGTTGCTTCTGATCTTCACATGATTTGGGTGTTAGACGTACCAATTATTTGTTCTGTGGTAGGCACAAGGACTTAGCAGGTGAGAAGGTGTTGGTGTTTTAATTTGTTTTTTTGTACATCTGATAACATTTACACTCTGTTACAGGAAGCGGAACTTGCAAGGGAGAAGACAAATGGGTATAAGTTGGACAAATCACATATATTTGCTGTTAATTTGTTTGATGATTTTGAGAAGTACATGAAGGTTCCAGATGAGTGGAAGGCTGCTGAAATTAAACCATACACACCTGGGGTACTTTAGTTCCTTTTCTTTGTGATCTTCTTTCTTGATGATTGGCTGCCTAAATTAATTCAGATTATACTCAGCAAAATATGCCAATCTTATTGAATAAGAAACGATGAGCAACCTTTTCTAGTGGTCGGCTGCTTTTAAGGTTCTTCCAACATCATTTCTCCAATTCATTTTCAGGTCATGAAGTTAGCAGAATTTAGGAGAGAGTTTGAGTCTTTTGTTTTGTGTTTCCATTATACTGAGAGACCCTTATTCTTTTATTAGTTCTTTTGGTACTCTCTTATTAAGTCTTGCTCTGAAGCTAGTAATTATTTACTTACCTCCAAGACAACTGAGCAAGAAACACCTATACTAACCAATGTTTCTGAATACAGCAACAGAATTGTGATTATCATTTTTTTACCATTTGTCAGGCTACCTCACTAGCAAACAGTAGGCAGTAAACTTGGAGTTTAATACCTAGGCAAAAGGTTGATGTGTGTTTTTCACTTTAAGTGCTATGTGCAAGTAGTCTATTACATCATAATGGTGTGAAAGATGCGTTTTAATATGGTTTGCTGTTCACATGTTCCTTCTTCAACTATAGTTCAATGTACCAAAAAATTGTTTGTTATTCATTATGTTTGGGATGAAGTAGGCTATGAGCTGTGTTGGCATGATCTGATGAATTGGAAAGAGATCCTTCGAATGCAGGGGTGTGGTAGAGGCTGGGAGAATTCTTTTGGTTATTGTTATCGATGCTTATTTAACATAGTTATCACTTGGAGTGAGGGAGGGAGGTTATGACCTGCTTTTTCATTGTTCAAAGTGGTTATGACCTGCTTTTTCATTGTTCAAAGTGGTTATGACCTGCTCACTGTGGGGACAATTAATTTTCACAAATTTAAGATGTTACTTAGTATATTCACACACTGAGAAGGAAAGAGAAGTTAGCAAACAAACATATTTGGCAAATAATTATTATTTTTATTAGCTTCCACAGTAATTTAGCCAAAAAATGCTTCAATAGCATCATTTTATTTATTTTTTCACAAGTGTTGGGCTATGAAGCACAAATCAAGTTCTGATGAAGGTCAATATCTTACAAAATTTTGCAAATTTCTCAACAACTTAGGTAGGTCCTGGACTTTCATGAGAACCTTAGTTGAGAGGTAGACAAATATACCTTATGTTTTGCAGTTCCTATATAAATCACAAGTGACCCTCTGGTATTCCTTTATGCCTGCACTATGCATCAATATGCATCCCAGATACACAGCATTGATGGATGTATGCAACACTACTTTGTTAATTATATAGATGAAGTGATGTGCGCCTAATGTATCTTTTACAAATGTTAAGAATGTGTGATGGGCTTTATTCATTTAGAAATGGGCAATTGATATTGGATTGTTTTACAATAAATTTTAGAATTGATGAGGATGTTCAATAAGAGCTGTTTTTGGTGTTTCGAGTTAGCTAGTAGAAGTGACCTCCCAGCTTTGTCAATATTATGGTGGGGTTAGTGTGTTCATTGTGTTCATATAAGTTGTGGTTTCTGTGTCAAATTGCATTAAAAAAGATAGTCATGTTATTTTGGTGCTGAAATAGTTTTTGATGTTGATACACCACGAGTTTTTTTTGTGTGCTTTTCATAATACTTAACCTTACATTTTACTGTTTTCTTTGATATATATTTTTATCTTACATCTTATATAAATGGTCCAGGTGCCACTTCTGTGGTGTGACTGGATGTGTGTTTCTGGCTGGATGCGTGTTGTTGTCTAATGCATAACTTATTCTAAATGTGATGGATCATTCTTTTCGAAATTGTGTTGTTGTCTCATGCATAACTTATTCTAAATGTGATGGATAATTCTTTTTGAAAATTGTACTACTACAGGAAAATCTGCAGCAATGGCTTACTGATGAGAAAGCTAGGGATCAGTTTGTTATCCGTGCAGGTTCAAACACTGAGGTTTTCTGGAATGACCCCAGGCAATTAATGCCTGAACTTGTCCATCAGCGTCAGGTAAGAACATAAGTTCATTTCATTCAGGTGGCTGCACTTTCAAAATAAAGTATGATGAAATTTTTTTTCTTTGGCAGAAGTGAGTTTTTACATACTTGTGTACATGCATATACACATAATATATTGTAACTATCATACTTTGTTGTTATTATTTTCAACTTATGGCCATCGCCATAATTTTTTTTTCATCTTTGATTTTTGCTGCTGGTACTTCTCAAACTTTAACCTTAGCCAGATTGAGTTTGCAAATGAATTAGCGTGTTCTGCATCCTAGTAATGGTATTAGATAAAACGGCCTCTACTAACAAAACCAACTACGAGTGCTACATGGAATGTTGCATCCATGCCCGGAAGCCATGTTAGAAACATATTCATGTGACTGAGTCCGATTCTTTATTTGTAGTATTCCAATATCAACCAGTAATTTAAAGAAGTGGACCTATGAAGCCATCAATAATTCACATTCTTACAGAATTATGACAAATTTTAAAAAGATCTTATTCTATGCCCGCATATTTACATTGGCTACTTGGCAAATTGGATACTTACATAGACATCTGCATTGAATTCTTGTGCATCTGATCAAGCAACACTTTTTCCTATCAAAGAGTTGTGATTTTATACACACACACACACACACACACATATATATATATGTATGTGTGTGTGTGTGTATATATATATATATGTGTATGTATATATAAGGTGGCTGGTGTATGTTTTAATTGTTTGTTATACTTGTCCTACAGTATTGGACTGAGAGCTTTGTCCAGTGGTCTCCTCTTGGAACATACTTGGCCACAGTGCATCGGCAGGGTGCTGCTGTCTGGGGCGGTGCTACTACTTTTAATCGTTTGATGCGTTTTGCCCATCCTCAGGTCTGAACTTCTCATAATATTTTCGGGGTTGCTTCGTTTAATGTTTTTAATGTGCTTGAGCTGGACGTCATAGTGACTAAAATGACAGGTGAGGTTGATTGATTTCTCTCCTGGTGAGAAGTATCTTGTGACATTCAGTAGCCATGAGCCCAGCAATCCTCGTGATACTCATGTAAGAAGTCATATGACTTTGTTGTCTGCTCCTTGTTTTGTTTTAGTCATCTTTGATTTTCATGCTTTTTATTTCAGAGGATTGTGATCAATATTTTTGATGTGAGAACTGGAAAATTGATGCGAGACTTTAAAGGAAATGTAGATGAATTTGCAACTGGTGGAAGCGGGGGTGTCTCTGGAATTTCATGGCCTGTATTTAGGTGGTGTTTAATGTTGCAGATATATATATATTTCCCCTGATTCAGTGTGTTGCGTAAACTATCTAAGCTGTTGCTTTGCTTTTTCACTTGAATGATTTAGGTGGGGTGGTGGTAAAGAAGACAAATATTTTGCAAGAATGGGAAAGAATGTTATCTCCGTTTATGAAACTGAGACGTTCACACTTATTGATAAAAAGTCCATGAAGGTTGAAAATGTTGTGGACTTTAGTTGGTCTCCTACTGATCCTATACTAGCCCTATTCGTTCCGGAGCTAGGTGGTGGTAACCAGCCTGCCAGGGTAAACAGAACTTCTATTTGGATTCTGTTGCATTAGTATTTAGTTTGTTAAGCTGATGATTAATCTTATCACCAGGTTAGCCTTGTCCAAATACCTGGCAAAGAGGAACTTAGGCAGAAAAACCTCTTCAGCGTCAGTGACTGTAAAATGTACTGGCAAAACAATGGAGAATACCTGGCTGTTAAGGTTGATAGGTATACTAAAACGAAAAAGAGTACATATACTGGTTTTGAACTTTTCCGTATCAAGGAAAGGGATATCCCAATTGAGGTCCTCGAACTTGATAATAAAAATGACAAGATAGTGGCCTTTGCATGGGAGCCCAAGGGCCACAGGTTTGCTGTCATCCATGGAGATGGTCCTCGGCCTGACATTAGTTTTTACTCTATGCGAACCACCCTGAACATCGGTCGGGTCTCAAAGCTCACAACTCTCAAGGCCAAGCAGGCCAATGCACTCTATTGGTCTCCTGCTGGACGCTACATAGTGCTTGCTGGCCTGAAAGGTTTCAATGGTCAGCTAGAGTTTTACAATGTTGATGAGCTAGAGACAATGGCGACAGGCGAGCATTTTATGGCCACTGACATCGAGTGGGATCCCACTGGAAGGTAAGTGTTCTGTGCATGTTAGGTCTGTGTGAAAAGCATTTATGTCATACTTGTTACACTTAGTGTGCATTTCGCCTGTTGTAGATATGTTGCGACTGCTGTCACTTCGGTCCATGAGATGGAGAATGGATTCCATATTTGGTCCTTCAGTGGAAAGCTACTATACCGGATATCCAGGGATCATTTCTATCAGGTGAGTGTGTGACTTCTTTATGGGAAGGGTATTTTTCGACTTAAAGGGTGTTGTCTAACTTGGAGAATTTTCTATTCAACAACAATGAAACAGTTTGAGTGGCGCCCTAGACCACCTTCCCTCTTGAGTGCCGAGAAGGAGGAAGAGATTGCAAAGAACCTGAAGAAGTACAGCAAGAAGTATGAAGCAGAGGACCAGGATGTCTCCATGCAATTGAACGAGCAGGATAGGAGAAAGAGGAAGATGTTGCAGGAGCAATGGAACGAGTGGGTAACCAAATGGAAACAGTTGCACGAGGAAGAGAGGCAGCTGAGGATAGAGCTGAGGGACGGGGTGGTCAGCGACGAGGAGGAAGAGTATGAAGCCAAAGAAGTGGAAGTCGAGGAGGTGTTAGACATTACGGAAGAGGTTGTCGCCTTCGACTTGGATCAAGAATAACGACTCACAAACTTTCTTGTAAGGTTGATTAGGACTCATGCTTCTTGAAGCAAGAGAATGTCTTAATCGAATCTATTAAGAGGATTCCATGAAATTTTGGTTCCCTGGATTTATTCTGGGTTTGATATTTTTTCCTCATGTTGTTAGTTTTAGCTGTGGTTGGACAGCACTCCTGATCAAATGCTTAGCAATTTTTAAACTTTGTTGTTTTTAACACGTGTTGATTGTACCGTTGGATGTCACATTTCTTTGTCTCTGTTCTTCAGTGGTTGATCATTCTGCCATTTAAATGATTAAATCAACATCTTGCTGCCTCCTTTTTCTTTGATCGGAGAGCAGAATCATTGTCATTGCCACCAGATTCATGTTCTGAATACAAGAGAGCATGCGCAAATCTTGGGAGGATGAACACGGGCATTATGGACTGCCGAATCCTGGTAGCAAATTTAGAGCAACCAGGCTTCTTCGAGGAAGATGAACAGAATGGTAGTATCGATTAGTGAGGATTGTTTTGGGAAAGATGAAATCAAGACAAGGACTGTTGGGTAAATCTTTATCAATTGGGCTGCATTATTGGGGAAGATCAATTCAAAGACACAGTCAATAGACAGAGTGGAGCTTTTGGGGAAGATGAACACAAAGGCCCGTCCAATATTGGAAGTAAATTTATAGCAATCATACTCTCATCTTTTGGGAAGATGAACGCATGCAATGTGGACAAGGGTAGCTCGGGAAAGATGAACTGGTGGTAAATTTATGTATCTATCGGACTCTCCTCTCTCATCTTTGGGGAAGTTGAGCATGAGATGCGAGTGTCTGATACCAGAAGTAAATTTATAGCGATCATCATACTCTCATCTTTGGGAAGATGAACGCATGCAATACTGACCAGGGTCGCTTGAGAAAGATGGACTGTCCAAAGACTGGTGGTAAATTTATGTATCTATCGGACTCTTTCATCTTTGGGGAAGATGAGCATGAGACGCAGGCAATATGGAGTGTCTAATACCAGAAGTAAATTTATAGCGATCATCATCCTCTCGTCTTTGGGAAAGATGAACACAGAGGCAGACTGAATAAGGGTTCTCATTTTCGAGGAAGACGAGCACAAAGACAATAAATGTGGATAGGAGGGAGCTTTGGGAAAGATGAGTCGATTATAAGCTGTCCAATGCTAGTAGTCGATTGATAAGAATCGGACTAATGTATTCGGGAAAGATGAAAACAAAAGGCATTATGATCTGTAAATTTATAGCAATCAGACTCTCACCATAAAAAATAAGAAGATAAAACTAATCATCAGTATCTCGGCACTTGGTTATCCTGTACGATGGAGAAGGTGGGTGATGATTTGAAAACGTATATGATTTGAAAACATATATGTTTTTTAATATACTTTTGTACTCTTAAAATCATTTGAATGAATGTAAGCTTGAATATTTAAAATTAATAAAGTTTTTTTAATTATTATTTTTTCATAATTTATTTCATCACAATTCTAACAAAATGATATTAGGGCCAAATTATTAAAGATGGCTATGGACGGACGTATCATTTATTCCCTATCCCCTGTCTCACTAATGACTATAAAAATTAGATTATCCATCTTCTTCTTCACTGTTTTTGTTCCACAACTCCACCACCTTTCTAAATCACTATTTTTTTTATTTTTATTTTTTAAACACTATATCCAAAAGAGTAAACACCGAGAAACTGACGTCGGTGCATGGAAACAGCACAGGTATTTGAAGTACTTCATTGCCCTTGATAGTTTTGTTGATCCCATCAACCTTCAGCCCGCATAAAGGATGGATCCGAACCATCCATGGATCCGTTGCTGAGCTAAGAGGAGAGATGAAGACAGCAACGAAGAGCATCCATTTGCTACTCGGACGCACGGTTGCCGAGGCGACAGTCGTCCTTGTTCCACCCTGAGCCATTCGGGGCTCAGACGTCGCCGCCGTGTGTGGCCATCCGGCATCCAACTCCACGGCTGCAGCGTCGGTTTCCTCATCTCTCATCTGACGCACCAGCTGCGGTTGAGCAACGCATGTTGCGAAGCCATCCATCGCGTGTTCTCATACTCCGATCCTGTGCTCAGTCGTCTCTGTTCTTCTCCTTCTCATTCTCCAATCTTGACGCCGTTGCCACCGGAGTCTGGAAGCCTGATGGAAACGCAGGACCGACTCCCAGCTGCTATGGAGCACCGTTAACTCATCAAGGACGAATAAACTAAACCTACACAAACCAGAGGAGATATTAGAAGATAAACTTTTAACAGGCTGATCTTAAAAGGTCGTATTGGATTATTATATACATTTGTATTCACTTTTTTTTATGGTGTCTCTTCTTGGTAAAAGCTAAATGTAGAGGAACGGGAGCCAATTCCCAGTGTGTGTGTGTGTGTGTGTGTCTTGTTGCAGCTGCACGTTTAGCAAAGGCGAACGGGCCCAATTACATACGGCCACGTTAACAAGTTGCTTTCGAACAAACCTACCAATAACATTTTTCTGCCACCGTCGACACAAGCTTGCTTCCGGCCGCGGTGCGAGACACCATCCCTGCTGTCGGTTTGCCGATTATAACAAGACGTCCGGACCTACCTTCCTGGTGATCGATGGTAGATGTGGGTCCCGCGGGTTGTGTCGGTCGCAGAATGAGCGGGTAGACGATTACGGCAAGTCTCGGGGCTCATGAATTTATAATGCTTATCCACTTCCGACAATGGCCACTCGACCCCGTAATACTACCATTTCAGGTCGTCAGCTCCAGTTAGACCAACAGCTTCTTCCTGTCCCCGATCGCAGGGAGCAGGGAGCAGGGAGCAGGGAGCAGGGCATCGTCATCACCGCCCTCATCCGAGCGACGACGAGGTACGCCCCTTCGATCCATCGTCGCCCCTATTCGGCTTCCATCTTTTTTTTTTGCCCCTCCTTTTGGTTTCTTTTTCTTCTCTTTTTCCCTATATGTTATCTTTGTCGGTTTAAATCTTCTTGGAAAGGATCAGGTTCGATGTGTGCAGCGATCTCTTCCGAAATCCATGCCCGAAGATTCTAGTTTTCTTCTTGTATGATGGTGATCGTCGGTTTGTTATCTGTTCTTGATGATTCATTGTCTCTTTTATAGAGCCGGTCCAATTTTCATTCTTGCAACTTCTTTCAATTTCTTCTTCTGGTCAATGTATCTGTTGGATGTAGTGGTCCAGCAAAGGGTACCTCGATGGATTTGAACGAGTGGTGGAGGATTTCAACTTCCGGGGAGGATCAGTTTGATCCTAAGAGATTTTTCTACTTCGATATTAGGATCATGTAATAGGGTTTCGGAAACCCCTCCGATTCTTGGGTTTATACGGGTTCTTATTCTTTAATTGTTTGCCGTTGCAACATAACTTGCACAATATGAACAGGATTCTCAAGATCGATGGTATTATCCAGGTTCTTGGTCTTTAATTGTTTGGCCTTGACTTGCACAATTTGCTCATGATTCTCAAGATGGAGATGGTTGTGGAGTGTAGCGTCCCTTGCATGATTTTAAATAGTAGTACCATAAGATAAGCCAAGACTTTTGAAACAGTGGAGATCACGAAGCTGTAACTATACTTTAGTCTTGGTCGAGCTCAATATTTGCACACCTGCGTTTGTTTGTTGAACGTCTCAACTCATTTCCGAGACTTACTTCTCTTCCCATTTCAGACTGCACGACCATATGCATCTGGAAAGAGCTCTATGCGTGCATCAGTATCTAACACCAATTTGCTTGCTCATTGAGATGTTAAATGCCCGCCAGACACATGAATTCTTCTTGCAGCTTCCAATTATATTATCTAGTCTAGAGGCACTTTGCTTTAATATCTAATTTTCAGTAAGACACTAGTTTCATCAATCATAATTGAACGTTGCTTGAGATTTGGATTTGGGTTTGAGAGCCAGTTAGGAAGACTCTTGATCATTAGTGACTTCTTAGCCATTAGAAGTTTTCCTCCCTATTAAGGCCTTAGGAAAAACATCTTCTTTAGAGTGGATCATATAGATGACAGTAGAACTTTTGGTTCGACTTTCACATTTGTTGAGGTTAAATAACGAAAATTTGTCTTGGTCTTTGGTGATATGATTTTTTTTTTTTCATTGACGTCAACTTATAAAAGGGGTCTAATCCCAGTCTTCTAATTACCTGTTGGTAGATTTTTCAGAGAATTATAAATATTATGCAAAAAATAAAATTCTGCTGACAGCAACATGGACTGTAAACTTCTAACTAGCTAAAATTGTTTGCATTATTGATGTCTTCTTTGATCACCTCATATACTAGAAAAACATCTCAGGATGCATTGTTATCACAGTGCATCAATATTCGTTCGAATGTGATAACTAATCAATTAAGTTGATTAGTTTGATCCACTAGTCTAACATACTTAAACCCGTGTTAATGATAACACAATGTGGGACTCAAGTCTTTTTTTCACTTTCGATATGGGACTAAATTAGGGATGTTATAATTTTCTCCACAGTAGTGATGCACATGTGATCCAATCCAATTGTGACTTTATACTATGATGTGTCCTTAGTTGTATCCATAAGTAATCATTTCGTACTCATGCCCCTCACTACGCCTAATTCTAGTTTAATTTTGTAACCATTTGTCGTGATCCATTTTGATGGAATGACTGACTCATTATCATTAGTTTTATAAAATTGTGGGAGGATAACTAGGTAAGCTGGTTGATATGATATGTTCCAAATCCTCTTAGTGCAGACTTTTCTCTCATATGGCATCCTTTTGTTCAGGATCTCACTAGCAGTTACTAAGATTGGTTTTCTTCTAGATTTGTTATTTATCATATTTTACTACAGAACATCAAGGAGCCACGTAATTTCAATAATTTTGAATCAACTACATTGATCTTTTACCATCACTAAGTTTTCTTTCTGATCCTGTTCTGACAAACTAAAACATAATTATTCTGCAAATAGTTCTCATATAGGAATGATTATAAGGCCGACACCTCAACACCACATGACTGACACTTTGGTGCTAGGTGGTTGAAAACCTCGATACAAAGTGGCAAACACTTTTAGAGCCACATGGTTGACACCTCGATGCCAGGCTATCACGGACGATCACTGTGCGCCCACAACACCTTCGTAAATGGACCGTTCGTCACCTATGTTTGTTTGTACAATTGTTTGACAGCATGTTTTGCCTTGTTTTTGTGTGTGTTTGTTTGAATTTTTGTAAGCAGAAGCAATTTATGAAGTTGCACAACGATTGCTTGCCATATTGGGCAAAATTGTCCCAAAATGGCCTAGTTTTCGTGTACCATGATTTGTTTTATGTAGGTTGTAGTGTGGTGCAAAACGTCAACCATCTCAGCCCTTTGTAGCCACCCAGGTGGCACAAGACTAGATGGGGCTTTGGGATAGTGTTTGGATAAAAAGTTTGCATGTAAAGTACGTGGACTTGCCATACACTCTGACTCCCGGTTGAGCGGCCATTTGTGGACTTACAACTGTTCTTTTACCTTCTAAAGTCCTTGTTTTGCCTTCCTCTGTTTTCTCTCTCATTTTGCTCACCAAGTGTTTGCTAAATTATAGGTAAGCAGCCCTTTTTTGCGAGACGTTAGGACTCGTTTGTCTCTCGTTTTCTAAATTTAATCAACTTCCTTTTGCAGGTCCTTTGAGACTTATACTCTTAGGCTGACCCTTTGTAAAAAGATATTACAAGTGTGTCTTATGACTTAGGTAGTTCCAACTAAGCCTGTGACATTTGATATTAAAGAGGGCAAGCGATTTGATCAACTAATGAAGATTCACACTCTCTCCATGGTGTAGCTCCGTTATGCATCAAGTAAGATGGTTTAAGTCGGACCATTGTCCTAAGCAACCATAGGTGGGTTGCAAGTGCGAACTCGCTCTCAAGCTACTAAAGTCACTTGAGGAGTGCGATAGCCAAAACGACAAGCGAGAAGCTAGCAATTCTCTGAGTGGAGGAAGCTCATTTTAGAGTGCCAACTGTGAAGTAAAAGAATCATAAGGAGAGGCTTGCGATAATGAAAACCCACCTCAATGTCTTCGAAGTGAGCTTAGAGAAACTTTGCCAAGGCTAAAGAAGGCTCCTTAGGGTAAAGAATTCGCAAGAGGAGACGAAATCTTAGATCGACATATCGTGGAGTCCCGAGTCGATCGATTAACGAAAGACACACAAGAGTCCATGCAACACCTACAAGTTGTCGCGGTGGATCTATTAGGAAGAATTATGGTGCTCATGAGAGCATTTTATGTGGGAGGGCAATACCTACATTGCTCCACCACAACACTTGAGGGCAACCGAGCCGCATTGCCACGGGGATGCTAGAGATACGAAGGAACTTGAGAACTTTTTATTCGATATGGAACAATACTTTTGGGCCACGAGGCTTGATTATGTATAAACCAAAGTTTCGATATCAACCATGTATTTGATGGGGATACAAAACTCTTTGTGGCAAACATAGTGGGAAAAGATCCAAAAAGGTCGGTGCTGAGCGGTTACATGGGAAGACTGGAAGCGGGAGTTGCAAACTCAGTTCCTACCTAATAACACTGAGTTCGTCGCACGACAGAAACTGAGACAACTCTGCCAAAACACTTCTATTCGGTACTATATTAAGTAGTTCTCAACATTGATGCTGGACATGCAAAGTTCAAAATGCAAAGCCCTAAAGCCCTAAAGCCCTAAAGCCCGAATGCCCGAGAGAAGAAGACTACTACTGAACAGAAGAGGATGAGTTCAAAAAAGAGGCAAAGTTCAAAATGCAAAGCCCTAAAGCCCGAAAAATGCTTCTTGTGTGGCGGGTCGCACTTGGTAAGAGAGTCCCCACAAAAGGAGGTGCTCAATGTGCTAATAGCATCAATCCATCCCCCCATTTGGACAAGAACAAGACTATCACCCTTAGTTAAGCAGCTTAGAATCTAGTAGCCATGATGAAGAGTCGCAAGGACTCCACATAAGAGCAATGCGTTTGTTGCATGTGTTGTGGGGTGAAGTGGACGAGCACGCGAAGACAAGGCAACACAAAATAGGGAGCAACGAGCTTATGTATGTAGACATCAAGCTCAATGGCCGAATAATCTGTGCGATGGTGGACATGAATGCTACCCACAATTTTATCATCGATAAGGAAGTAAGGCAACTAGGGCTGAATTTGGAGAAGAGCCCAAGTCGAATGAAGGTTGTGAACTTGGAGAACAATAGATATTTGGGTTAGCAAAGGGTGTCCCTATCAAAATCGGAACGTGGAGCGGAAGCACTAACTTAATGACAGTGTCGTTAGATGACTTCTAAGTGATTCTTAGAATGAAGTTCATGCATACGACCAACATAGTGCCAATGTTGTTCCTAAACTCTTTGTGCCTGATGGGCGACAATGACTCTTAAGTGGTTCCAGTTTCTTGAGGAGGAACTAAGGACCTACAACAACTCTTAGTGTTACAATAGAAGAAAGGGGTGCGCAAGGGAGAACTAACTTTCGTAGCTGCAATAAAGTTAGATTTACTTGATAAGGAGATCGCTCAAGAACCTATGGTGGTGGCGAACGTTTTGAAGGAGTCTGTGGATGTTATGCCACTTGAGACCTCCAAACCGCATGGTCCCCTTGAGTTGGTAGAGCTCAGGAAGCAATTAGATGAATTGCGAAGCAAAGGTCTCATTTGTAGTTCTAAAGCACCTACTTTCTTAGAATGCGATTTGTGCTGAGGAGGGACAATATTACACTGAATTACTTTCAAACTCAAAAGAAAATCTCCCTAAAGTACGCACGATGGTAGGACCTCTTAGTTGAGTTTGACATGACAATGGAGTACAAGCTCTGAAGAGCAAATGTCGTGGCCAATACCTTGAGCAGAAAAGTGGCGTTGGTGAATATAGTGTAATTGGAAGGCGGAGGTCAAGCGATTTAGTTAGAATTCAACTTCCTTTCCAAGATTAGGGATGGATTGTATAATGAGTCTCGGGTAGTAACCTTGATGCAACTGATTAAAGAAAGCAAGACATGATGATCTTAAGTCGAAGAGGGACTCATTTATATTGGCGTTAACACTTAAGAGAGTATCAAGGTCCCTTTGGACAGGGCGTCCCAGTATTCACAGAACTCTGGCTCTCATGGAGAGGGCCTTCTATTGGTAAAAAATGGGGACCAATATGGTGGAGTATATTCGGACGTGCCTCACATGCCAATGGTGCAACGAACGCTAGTGGGTCTTTTAGAGCCTTTGCCCATACTAGAGAAGCCATAGTAGAGCATTTACTTGGACTTCGTATGAAGCTTGTTGGCGATAGGGAGACTTGGATCGATACTTGTGATGATCGATTGGTCTTCAAAGCATGCAACACTCATTGTTGCACCCCTATGATGCTTAGTAGAGGAGGCAGCCAAGTTGATGATGAAGAATGTGGTGAAGCATTAGGGAGTTCCGGACAACATAATTAGTGACTAAGATGTGCGATTCTTGAGACTGTTTTGGATCGAGTTATTAAGTTGTTAGGACCCAAGCTATACTTCTTCATAAGCCTCTATCCCTGACGGATGACCAAACTGAAAGAATAAACTCACTCCTTGAGCAATATCTTCGGCATTACGTGAGTGCCAACCAACGAGATTGTGTAAAGTTGTTGGACATAGCCTAATCCTCCTACAACCAACTTATAGTGAAACTCTGTATCCAACAAGAGTCCATTCAACAACAGCCGTCAACTTCTCACACTTTGATGATCAGGTATATTGTGAGTAGTCCATCAACATATCACTTTGTAAAGGAATGATATCGAAATACATATTTTGCGTAGACATACTTGGAGAAGTCAACCAAAAAGATAAAAAGGTGAGCAGATTTATGAAGGTAGCTACGATAGTTCAAGATTGGAGACTTGGTGCTGGTGAAGCTCCAACTAGCATCACTCATATTCTTCAGGCAGAAATTGCACAAGGGATTGATGCACAAATATGAAGGGTCATTCCTAATCATCAACAAGGTAGGCAATATCACCTACAAGTTGCAGCTTTCGGCATGGCTCAAAATTCACAATGTATTCTACATGAGGAACTTGAAAGCCTATTACGCAGATCCGCAATATGCTTCTAGAGATGTTTCAACTCGGCTACCCCCATCTAAGCCTCTTTTGAAAAGCAAGTTGAAGCCATTCTACTAGATCGTAGGACAAAGCTACCTAATGGAGCAGAGCAGATCGAGTACTTAGCGAAGTGACAAAAGCTTCGCAAAATGAGAAGCCAATTGGGAGCTCGAAGACGTCCTATATCGTGAAAAAGCAATCATTAAAGCTTACCAACAATCGTCGAAGAGGGCATCTATAGATTAAGCGGGAGAGAATGTCACGGATGGTCGTCGCATGCCATTAACACCTTCGTTAACGGACTATTTATCGCTTATATTTGCTTGTACAATTGTTTGACAACGTGTTTTGCTTTATTTCTGTGTATTTTTTGCTTGGTTTCGTTTAACAGAAGCAGTTTGTGAAGCTGCACAACGATCACTCGTCAAATTAGGCAAAATTACTCAAAAATGATTCAGTTTTTGTGTGCCATGACATGTTTTTTGTAGGTTATGGTGTGATGCAAAACATCAGCTGTCTTGGCCCCTTGATGCCATGGTAATGTTGGGTTATGTTTAGATAAACAAGTTTGCATATAAAGTGTACGAGAACTTGCCTTTTATCCCGACACTTGAGTGAGCGGTCGTTTGTGGACTTGTGATTGTTCTTTTGCTTTCTAAAATCCTTGTTTTTATTTCATTTCTTTTCTCTTTTTGCACACCAAGTGTTTGCTAAATTTCTTGCAAGCTATCCTTTTTTGCGAGACATAGGGACTTATCTATCGCTTGTTTTCTAAATTTAATCAACTTTCTTTTACATGTCCTTTTGGACCTGTATGAGGTTGCTCTTAGGCTGATCTTTGCAGATTGATATTGCAAGGGTACTTCACAACTTACGCAAGTCTAGCTAAGTTTATGATAAGGCATCGGACACCCCTATGCCAAGTGGTTAACACCTCGGCGTTGAGTAGTCGAAACCTTTGGCACCATGCAGTTGGCACCTTGATGCTAGGGATCGGTGTCACATGGTCAATGCCTCATATCCATATGGTCAACACCTAAGCACATGGCTGAGCAGGCCGGACGTTACCACGTTTTGGGTTCGACGTACCACGATCGCATTTAAGTTTGAAAGAAGTGTACCACCTTCTTTATAACGAACGTGTACTACATAGTTAATGACACTCGAAGGTCACTGTTAAAGGGCTCTTCAGGTGCATTTTGAGATGGACTTTTTTCGATTGATAAGGCTAGTTGAATCATCTAAATCCATTACTGACTTAAGATTCGAAGGGGCCTCGTCAAGAATATCCCCAACATAGTTTTGTAAGTCGCGGGATATCTTGGAAGTGAATGAAGATAAATTGGTTAGTAAATCATGGGATAAAGGTGGAGGACCCCAGTTGGCTTCGAATCATCATCCAACTTTTACAACCAAAATTTTACTTAACAAGTTCATTTAGTTGGAGACTCTAGGTATGGTGAGGATGGTAGGCACCCATTTGACTATTTTCCTAAATGAACGGCTAAAGTTGCCATTGGCCTTGCATGCCTAATTACAAATCTTAAAACTGCAGCACTGTGTAGTTTACAAAATCGTGACACATAAGCTTTGTAATAGAGACGGCATGCTCTCTAACATTACTGATGATGTATTAATTTCGTCTTACAATTTGTTAAGTTATATTAGTTATAGGATTGTTCAGGATGTGAAATCGACATTTATCTTCTACGAGGTTCTTCAGGTTGTGGAAATAAAATTTTCTTATCTTTCATGGCTTTGAACTGACTAAATCCTTTTGCTATGGTTATAGAGGATATAGAAGTTACATATTCTTCATATATCAATTGACAAATAATTTTGCTTTTATAAAAAGTACTTGATAGTAGTTCACAGGTTATCAGGAACTGGGTTAGATATGACAGATGTTTGACGAAGCCAAGAAAAATTGGCTTTACTTGCATGCGATGGTTAGTAACAATGTATTTTGAACAAATTTTCTAAAATATAATTTCTCTGGTGAAATACTTTGTTCTTTTTTCAGATCGATTGGCTCTCCATGGACTCTGTGACACCCAAGACAGAGGCTACAAAAGAACAGACTGTAGAATTACTGATAGCAATCTCCCAATCCGTTCCAAGAATGAACCTCACATCAAATCCGTCACCTATGAACTCAACCATTGTTATCATGGCCCGTGAAAAGGAAAATGAAGATGCTGAGAAATACAGATCTAAGCTGATCTCTATCTCCTATACACAGTCTCCTGATGTTCAACGACCACCATCTTTAGAAAATTGTGGCAGTTAAATGGGAAGTTGCAATGACCTAAGGGCATCTGAATTTCTGTGTCTTGTAATCTATGCTGCTTGTTTACTTGCCACTATCAATAGGATAAACTTGTTGTCAAGATCTGCCATGATGTTCAAAGTAATTTAAGAAGAAACTTGGATATGCCAGCTATGAAGTGACTCCTTTTGGAAACACTGTTATACTGTCCTCGTAGCTCATCACTTGCAAGTTAATCTGATCGCAAGACCAGGATTTAATCCTCGTTTTTCTTGCATAAGGTTCGTCTTCTTTGCTACTCTGGAATATTTGTGCAGTTCATCAATCAACACTTAGTACATCTCTCTTTTGGCTGCTGAATCACAAAGCATTATTGATTGACAGCACAATATGTTTTGAAACCATTATTTGACCAAATTATATATGTTTTTGTCCGTTGGATCTGAAATCGTGAGACAATATGACAGCACAATGTGTTTTTCTTGCTACATTAGCAATTTGTGAGCTGAGTATTCCTTTTAATCTGATGCCTTGACTGCCAAGAACAATAATGGTGATGATTGACTACGTACGCTACTAACACTCTCCTAGTTCTTTCAGGAAAATCTTAGATTTTTTTGAGGTTGGTCAATTTCTTATGTTTGCATGTGTATGAGATTAGCCACATTAGAATCATGCCACTGTGATGTGAAAGTGTGAGAAGGATGAATGGACTGGAGGCTGCTGAACTGGTGAAAATTAACATCCTCAACTTGGTCTCGACACCCTTTGATCATACAAAGATAAGTAGCTGATGTGATATTTCTTCATGTTTCTTACAATCATTTTTTCTAGTCTCATATTTTGGCTAGAAAAACTAGTTTTAGATTTAAATGATGAAATGAAAAGACATCAGGAACAGAGGAAATTGCGTTTGAACTGCCACAGTGGTAATTAATTCTATTATGAATCTTGACCTTGTGCCCCAGATTGATTAAACATACAGCATTTGCATTTCAAACATGTTCTTCTTCTTGCATGGGAACTTCATCAGCATTGACAAAAACTTTGAAATACAGAAGAAATTTAACACATAACAATAATATATTCGTGAACATCAGAAGAAATTAATATATTCGTGACAAAAACTTCACCCTATGCATTGACAACTGCAGCAGGTGAAAATGTGGCCCGTAACCATGAGACCAGATCCTCTTTGGAAGCAACAAAACTACCACACTTGTCCTCAACCTGCCGGAAGGGTGCAGCCACTTCGTTCAAATGCGAGGTAAAAGAGCTGGCCAATCCCTGAGAGAACTTGTGAGTTCCTGAGCCAGTATAGACGGAGAAGGAAAAAGGCAATACTTCCTCCTCCTCCTCCTCCACCACCGAATCCCATAAACTCTTCATCCACTCTTCGAAAGCAGTTTTAGCTGCGCCCACCGACAACGATCGAAGGTCTAGTGACCACTCCTCCGACTTCCTTGCATGCAAACCAGGATACAACCCATAAAGGTTTCCCAGATGCAGAAGCTCGTTGGCCCTCCGGGAAGGATGCCCCTGATTCCTGCATATATCTATCAAGCAGTTGCAGAATGGTCTGCGCACTTCGACGGCAGCCTCATTCATTATCCCTCGGAACTCGTCCTTGATCTCGCCAAAGCCAACTTGTTCATCGCGGAGCATCTTCAGCAGCCCAACCAGCCTGTTGTTCGCCTTCTTCAGGCAACCCAGCACCATGTCGGTCTCCCCCCCTTCTTCACACACAGCTGCGACCGAGAGCAAGCACCCGCACAGCCGATCATCGGGTCGTATGCCCCTCTCCGTTGCCGTCTCGAACACCCTCACGGCGTCCCCGATCCTTCTGGCTTTCCCCAGGCATTGGATCAAGCAAGTGCAGCTCATCACGTTTAGCTCCACCCCCTTCTCCAGCATTTCTTCGAACATCTTCACGGCTCTGTCGGGCTTTCCACCGCTCCCGTATATATTGATCATCGCCGTGTAGCTCCAACTGTCCGGTCGAGCGTACCGATCCGGCCGCCGCATATCCTCGAACAGCTTCTCCGCCTCCTCCTCCAATCCAAGATCTGCGCACATGCTAAGCAACGTATTGTAGAGGATGAAGTCCATGGGCCATCTGTTGCTCTTCATCCGCTCCCACAACTCCAACGCGTCCCTGCTCCACCTTGCCTTGCCGTAGATCTTGATCAGGGAGGTGAGCGTCTTCTCGTTCGGCGACAGCCCTGCCGCGACCATCTCCTCGAACAGGCTCCTAGCCAGGCCGGGCTTCCCGGCCTTGCCAGTCGCCTGGATCAGGGTGTTGTAGACCACGGCGTTCGGTTTCACGCCCAGGTCCTTCATCTCCTTGAGCACGTAGCGGATCCCATCGTAGTCGCCCGCCTCCCCGAACATCTTGCCGAGCACCGAGAAGGCGACGGCGTCGGGGCGCCATCCACTGGCACAGGCGCGCTCGTAGAGGGTAACGACCTCCTCCCGGTGGCCCAGCCGAGCGTAGACATCGAGGACGGCGGAGTAGGTGACCTCGTCAGGCATGAGGCCGGTGCGGTACATGCGCTCGAACCAACGAAGGGCGCCGTCGAAGCGGCGGCAGCGCTTGGCGGCGGTGATGATGGTGGAGTAGGTGATATTATCAAGCGGGACGGAGGCGTCGATCATCTCACCGGCGAGGCGCTCGACGTGGTGCCACTGGTGGCCAGCGCGGAGGGATTTGAGGACGACGTTGTAGAAAATGGTGTCGAGGGGGAAGTCGGGGAGGGACCTGAGGAAGTCGAGGAACTGGAGAGACTTCTGCCAGGAGCGAAGGGAGTTGAGGAGGAGGAGGGCGTCGTCACGGGAGGGGGAATGGCCAGGGGGGAAGGCAGCGGAGAGGGCAGAGGGGAGGTCGGGGGAGAGACGGAGGGTGCGGGAGAGTGCGGTTAGGGGGCGGAGGGAGGGGTTGTGCGAGAAGGGTGGGCGGGGTTGGCGGCGGAGGGCGAGGACGGTGGGCCGGGGCTTGGATGGATTGGTCCAGGTGGGCTTTGCAGGAAGCCGAGGAGGAGGGGCAACGGTGGCTGAGGGTGATGTGGGTTGGGAGGTGAGAAGGGTGAGGGAGAGAGGGAGGAGTTGGTCGGAGAGGGAGGAGGAGGATGGGGTCTGGTCGGCAGTTGGGCTGCTTGCAGTCACAGCCGAGGTTTTAGAGGAGTGGCAGAGGAAGGTGGCGGGGGGTTTAAGTGGGGAGAGAAGAGGGTGGGGAATGGAGATAGTGGGAGATGTGGAAGCACAGAGTAGTACCATCGCCGCCCGCAGCGGAGGAGAGGTAGCAGTAGCAGCAGCGATGAAGGGAGGAGGTCTTCTTCTGATCTATCCTCGCACAGGACACCATCTGTCGCTTATCGTCGTTGGAAATATCTAATATCCAACATGATATGTGATCCGAATCCGACAACGAAGGCATCCAAAGCGATGTTTGGACACTGAGATTTCCTGTCGGATTCGGGTTTTAGGTCACCTTTTGACTCTTGCGTAGATCACAAGTTCGCGTTCAGAATCTCTCTCGCACTCGCCTGATGCTTTAAATCTTTCTCGCGTTTCCTCCGTGGAATCCAATACCTTGCCATGGCGTCTTCTTCCTCAACGTTTGCTCTGAAGGAGGTGCTGGGCGAGCTCGATCGCGGCTCCTACGTCACCCTCCTCTCTAAGATCATCGGCGAGGCCCGCCACGTCCAGAACAATCCCCCGGATTTGATCCCCAAGGAGGACCGCGTCGCCCGCCACGTCCTCGACTCCCTCCTCCCCCTCAGCACCTCCACCGGCGGCGGCCCCCTCGTCGTCTCCCACATCGCCTACGCTGAGGGCCGCGGCAACGTCATCGTCGAGTACCCTGGCTCCGACCCTGCCCGCATCATCTCCTTCGTTGGCTGCCACATGGACGTCGTCACTGCCGATCCCACCGACTGGGTCCGCGCCTTCTTTTCTCGCTGATCCCAATGCTTCCTTTTTCTTGTTCGAAATCCTAATTCTAATCTAAAGTATTTGATTCTTTTTCCCCTTCCTTCCGTAGGAGTTCGATCCCTTTTCACTGAGCGTGGATGGGGATAAGCTTCGGGGCCGGGGGACTACCGACTGCCTTGGGCACGTGGCGCTGGTGACGCAGCTGATGCGAAGGCTTGGGGAGACGAAGCCTGAACTTAAGAACACTGTGGTGGCCGTGTTCATTGCAAACGAGGAAAACTCGTCAGTGTTGGGGGTCGGTGTGGATGCCCTGGTCAAAGATGGGTTGCTTGATAAGCTAAAGGCCGGACCTTTGTAAGTTGTGGTTGTTTCCGTCATTTGGGTTGTTATTGTTGTCTTTCCTTTGGTTCTTTTTCCCGGTTCAATGTGTTGGTTTACCCTGTAGGTTCTGGATCGATACGGCAGATAAGCAACCCTGTATTGGTACTGGGGGAATGATAGCATGGAGGCTGCGGGCTACTGGGAAACTTTTCCACAGTGGTCTCCCGCACAAGGTACTGTCAGCTACATAAAATATCCAAATCAGGACTAATGATAGTCTTGTTGCAGTCTTTTTATAGCATAAAATGCTCCTTTGTCTAGGTAATATCTTTGTTTTGGCTGGAAGATTTCTGAGAAATCACAAAAAGACAAGTAACTCCTTATTTTTATGGAGACTGTTGATCAAGAAGGGAACACTATGACATTTAATTTGAGCCATTGCCTATTTGAGGAAGGTTCTACCGAGGAATATATTATTCATGTTCACCAAATTAATAACTCTAAAATTTGCACATTAAGAGTAGTTATAAATAACTATCTCCAGTACTCTGTTGGAAAAAGAGAGATACATAATGAGATCAGATTTCTATAAGTGTAGAATACTTGGACACTAATAAACCCAATTTTAACAACCATTTTTAGAAAGTTATCTCTGAGATTTTTCCCATTTTACAAATCTATAGATATCAATGAGGAGATGTATTTAAATAGATTCCATGAGTGGTAAATGTTCAACTGATATTCTATGAAAGCCGACTTATTCTTCTAAATGAATACTGCAGGCAATCAATCCATTGGAGTTGGCCATGGAAGCCTTTAAAGAGATTCAGCTGAGATTTTACATGGACTTCCCTGCACATCCCAAAGAAGAGGTTTATGGATTTGCCACACCTTCAACAATGAAACCAACCCAATGGAGTTGTAAGTCCAGAACCCTAACTCGTATTAACTTCCTCATCAAAGCCATAGTAAATTAGTGAGAGTTGTAAGTTCCTAATGCTGACAGGACACAAGCAATTTTTACATGATTCGTTGTATGCTTCTTATATATGGTGCATTGCAGATCCTGGAGGTGGCATCAATCAGATTCCAGCTGAATGTACAATATCAGGAGATGTGAGGCATGTTCTTTTTTCATACTGAAATGTGAAGGGTTTCATGTGCCTTTTATGACTAGATGTGTAGACTATACCTTCTCTAGAAACACCTAAGAGTCAACTTGTCCTGTTGTTTATATTTTGGTCTTTCAATGATATAAGATAGTACTGGTTTCTGATTTTGGGTTATGCTTTTATCCTATCACAGTTATTTGTTGATGTATTGCTTTTGCCATATCAGCTAATCGTTTCTAAATCCCTTTCAAAACCAGTGATTTCAATAGGCGCTCGGGCGCTCGCCTAGGCGCTCGGGCGAGGCGAGGCGAGGCCCGTGCGCCTCGCTTCATGTCCAAGCGCCTCACTTCAACGAGGCACCGCCTAGGCGCTCGCCTGAGCCCAGGCGCCGAGCGCTTCGGGCGAGCGCCCGGGTTAAACCAGGCGACCGAACCAGTGTTTTACGTCTGGTTCGGTCTCCAGTGCTTTAGTTGGTTCAATCGAACCAACTAAATCACTGATAGGCTCCCTCTCACGATTTTCCCGACTTCCCCAACCCTAACACTCGCGATTTTGCCGTCGAGATTTCTTCTCCGCTGTCGCTGCTCTCTGCTGCCGCTACCACTGTCGCTACTCGCCGCTGCCACAATCGTCGCTCATCTCTGTTGTCGTCGCTCGCCGCTCGCAGCTCCCGCTCCCACTCCCACTCCCGTTGCCGCTCGTAGCTCCTGCTCCCACTCCCGCTATCGCTCACCGCTCCCGCTCTCGCTCCCGCTACTACTGTCGTTGCCTCAGCAGCCTCGGTCTTCTCACACTCTTCTCACTATATTGTTAATAGTATATTAACAGTATACTGCTAACTGTATACTAATAATAGTATTTTTATTTATTAGATTAATAATATATTATTTTGATTTTAATACTATTAATTTTTATTTATTTAAAATTATTGTTAGGTTTCAGAATAAAAGGCAAGTGTACAGAGCAACTCAATAGATTTGATGTAAAATTTTATTGTTTTGATTTTTGAGACTTTTTATTAATATGACATTGTGATTTTGTACTCGATTTTCTTAATTTAATAACATATTTTTTATTTAAATAAATATATTAATTATATTTTATATTTTTATATTTTAGCGTCTCGCTTCGCTCGGGCGAGCGCCTAGTGCTTTTTAAATCACTGTTCAAAACTCAAACCTACTAGTAAAGTGGTATGCTTGTACAAGGTCTTCCATTTAGATTTAAAATTGTTTAAATCTATCTTGTTCAATATCCCTTCTTTCAAAGTAATAAATCTATCTTCTTTCTTTATCAGTAACTATAAGGTGTTGAGAGATGACATCTCAAGGACTTGAAGGGACACATCTTTTAAATTTTCAAATCTTGTAAGCTTGTATGGAGGACATCTAGTTCTCTAGATTTCTCCTGTACAGTATAAGTTTGATTTAAGAAATATTAACTTTGTGGTTGTTTTGGGGTCTGTCCATTCGTGCTTGTGTCAATGTTGTTTGATTCTAAGTAAAAACATTGTAGGTAGTCTTAAGTAGGTAGCCTTGAGTGTGTCTAGATATGGCTCCGGTTACAAACTTGTGTTTCAGCAGGTGATAAGGTTAAAAAGATAAGGGTAGGAAGTGTTTGGGGTATATTCATCAAATATAAAGCACTTGGATTGCCTTAGGAGAAGATCTAAAAGCAATAAATGATAATATTTATTTTATCTATTTTTAATTATATTTGATTAACAACTTATATAGAGGGAGTAGAAAGGTTTTGAACTCTATATGTAAGATATGTTAAAGATAAAGTGATTTCGTATCTTAATCTAGAAAAAAATTATCAATATTATGGAGTCATGATTCCAAATATTTTGTGCCATGACTCCAAATATTAGGAATATTTGATTTTTATAAACTTCTGAATTGCTTAGGTGCCAGAGTGGGTATCTCAGGATTTAAGCAAGGTTTTTTCCACTAAATTGATAAGACCCCTAGGGTTTTATCAAAGAAGAAGAGGAAAGAAAGGGAATGATCACTTCGAGGGGATCGACTTTCTTAATCACTTCGAGGGGATCGACCTCTTAGGATTTGACAAAGGCTAGAATAATATTTCATAGATGATGAAAAGAAACATATACATCCATATTTATAGAGTTCCACCCCTGAGTCCATCAGGACTTGGACTCTTAATAAAATAAATAAATCTCAAATAAGTCCCTATCCGACTCCTACTGGAGTAGAAAAACTTAATAAAACATGATTTAAAGCTTGAAAAATAAAAGGGATCCTAATAGTTCCTCTCCCTTCAAATCAACCTTGTCCTCAAAATTGAGCGGCATCAAACTCTTGGAGCTTCTCTTTCAGCACTTCAGTCACAGGATATCTGCGGCGCATCACAACTCGTTTATCAAGTAAGTAGGGTCTCCACTTCGTGATAGTGTAAGCAATGAGCCGACCTTTCGGTGTAGAAATCATTGCAGTCTTCTGAAGAACCCTCACCATTCGATGGCTAGTGGCAATTGTGACCTTACTTCCACGTCTTCCCTTTAGGATCATCTGCTTTCCATTAATAAAAAATTTCATGATTAGTTTAGAAAAATTCCAAGAAACATCACTCAAGGTTGATAACCATTCAATTCCAAGTACCATTTCGAAGTTTTCCAAGGGTAGCAAAAAGAAATCCTCTCTCTCCAAGGAACCATAACCCTGATTTAATTGAGTCATAATCTAATTAACTTTATTTGATTTGCACTCATAATCTAGTTAAGACTTTCTTTAAATCTCGACCTCCACTTTTAATCAAGATATATTCCTAACCTAATTAGAAGGGATACCATATCTAAGGTAAATTATCAAAATGCCCTTAACTAATTAGCCTGCTTGTTTATTGGTGCTCATACAACCAATAAGCAATGCTTGAAACTTCAAAGTTCTCAAAGGAGTCTGCATGAAGAAATAACTGGCATGTGTTCTTTAGATTTAAAATAGTATATGAAGGAAGCAAAAAATAATTCTTTAATTAGTCAAGCA